TCTCTCCTCTGATTTCTCTCCATCCATTTGCAGTAAATCTCCTTTGCAAAGTCAGCCTGTGCTCATTCATCTCCCACTTACACCCAATCATCTCCTGTCTCATCTGCTTCAGGTTACCTCAGCTAATGAGTTCATGGTTTGAAGGCAGGGCCACTGTCTTCTGACTTCTCTATGCCCCGTGGTACATCATCCAACAAGGTACTGGGCACAGAGTAAGTGTGAAGTGTATGTCCTCATCCAAAACCTCAATCAGTACCTACTATGTGCCAAGAACTAGGGATTTAAGATTAATAAAAACATGGTCTTTGTTTAAGCAGCTCCCAGCCTAGAAGGAAAAACAGGTGTGTTTTGTACCGTGCCTCTCACTTTCTCAAGGATATTGCTGATTTATTTATTAGGGCAGTCTCCAGCAACAAATCTCTCTTTCTACTGATCATTCCCCTCATTACAGCCATATGGTTTAAGCATATGCTTTTATCTCCCATTTTAAACACAAACAGAAATCCCCTGTAATCCCTCAGAGTGCACTAGCTACATCCAATTTGTCAGTTCCCCTTGATAGCTGATCTTCTCTATGAAGTTGTCCATGCATGCCACATCCACTTTCTCACTTCTGAGTTCATCCTTCAACCACAGCAGTCTGCCCCTCCCAACCAGACCCCTAGACCTGCTCTCATCAAGGTGCCTGTGTTATCCATGTCACCAACCCACTGAACACCTCTCTGCCTGCAGTTTGTTCAGCCCCAGCATCATTCTGCAGAGCCACCACTCCTTCCTAGGCCTTGGTTTTTCACTGGTCTTCTTCCTACCTTGACAGCCAGTCCTTACCCAACTCCATTTGTGGCTCTTCCTAGTTTACCTGACCTCTAAATGTTGAGCTCATTCCAAGTATGCCTCATCTGCACATCTTTCTCCAAGTGATGTAATCAACAGCCATGCAGTGAAGACCATCTTGTACTCATGGCACTCACCTTTGCTCCATCTCCAGACCTCTCCTCCAAGCCCCAACCTCACGTATTTGCCTACCTTATAGCCTCACCTAGATGGAGCTTGGAGGAGAGGTCTATGGAGGTCTTGTAGGTCCTACACAAATAGATCTCAAATTCCACATGTCTAAAACAGAATGGCTACGGATCCCACCTCCCAGAAAAAACTTGTCCCCCACCTACCCCAGGCCTTCTCTGTCTTGCTGTCATATTGGTCACTCAGTTATTAAACCAGAATCTGAGAAGCCATCCTTGTTTTTCTTCTCTTTCTTTCCTCACTGCCCTTACCCACACTTACCTAATCCATCAGCAACTCCTGCATCTAAAATAAAGCTTACATCTACTCTCTCTATCTTAATCCCTAATGCTGCTACCTTTCTCCTGGCCACAGTCATTTCTTGCCTAGATTACTACAAGTGTCCAAATTAGCTTTCTACTTCTACTCTTGCCCCACCACCAATCTATTCTCTTTAGCAGAAAACAAACAAAAGATCTTCATAAACTATCTAAAGATTCATCTCGGCCGGGCGCGGTGGCTCAAGCCTGTAATCCCAGCACTTTGGGAGGCTGAGACGGGCGGATCACGAGGTCAGGAGATCGAGACCATCCTGGCTAACATGGTGAAACTCCGTCTCTACTAAAAAATACAAAAAACTAGCCGGGCGAGGTGGCGGGCGCCTGTAGTCCCAGCTACTCGGGAGGCTGAGGCAGGAGAATGGCGGGAACCCGGGAGGCGGAGCTTGCAGTGAGCTGAGATCCGGCCACTGCACTCCAGCCTGGGCGACAGAGCGAGACTCAGTCTCAAAAAAAAAAAAAAAAAAAAAATTCATCTCCTACCCCTAAAATGTTACAGTGGCTTCCCAGGAAAATACTCCTAAATCCCAACCTCTTTCCCACAAAGCTCTACATCAACTCCGCCTATATCACCAGCGCTAGTGCTAGCCCCCTCTTGCATCATTCCTCACTCCTTCCCAACTTTGTTCTTCATTATGCCCCAGCCAAAGTGGATATCTTTCAGTTCCTCAGAGATACCAACCCCTTTCTAGGCAGGAGAAATAGCATGAACAAAAGCCCTGGGAAGATAATATTCTTTGCCCTCCTTTTATAGGGCAGGCACTTTCTCTTCCACTAGGTCTTTTGAAGTTATCATGGCCACAGGGAGGCCTTTGGAGACAGAAGTTTATTCTTTATATTAGTCCCATCTATTACTCTCATAGCACTTACTCAAAGGTACTGTTACTTGATTTATGTATTTCCCTCCCCCAAGTTAAAATGTAAGTTCCATGTGGGCAGGGACCATGTTCACTGCTGGACCTCAACACTTAGCACTGTGCCTAGCATATAGTAGAAACTCAATAATACTCATGGAATATTTAAGTGTATGAACAAGCATTTACAACACAGTATGATGTGTACTAGTGCAGGAAATGATCCAAAGTTCTTTGGAAACATGAATAAAGACTCTCTTTACAGATGAGAAGATACCCGAGTTAAATCTTTTGGAATTTGTCAGGATTAGAGCTATGATAATGGTGCTGAAAATATGAAAGAGCCTGACTGTGTTCAGGAAGAGGAAAACCATGGTGTTCTGTGTCAGGCTATACAATTTACATTTTATCAGGAAAGCCAGCCATTTGAGAGTTTAGGCAAAGAACAGATACTGTTTGAATTATAAAAAGATAACTCTGATGACAGTATGAAGGATCACTTGCAAGAGAAGAACTAGAAGCAGGGAGACTAACTAGAAAGATGCAAGGAAGAAAGTGACTATGGCAGTGGAAATGAAAACAAGGAGAAAGAACCAGACTATGAGATATTAAGATAATATGTTTAAAAGCTTAGCAACCAATCGAATATGACAGTAAGGACCAAGAGATGAACATGGCTCAGCTTTTAACTTGTGAGACTATGTGAATGACAATGCCATTAATTGAGATAGAAATACAGAATATAAGCAATTTTTAGGGGGGAAAGTGAGGAGTCCAGCATGGGACATAGTGAGTGTGAGGTGCCTGGGGCTATCCTTGTGGAGATGCCCAACAGGCAGCTGGTAAGTGGGGATGAAGACCTGGGTACAGTAGAGGTCTTAGATTTAGAAATCAACATACACATGGGAACTTTCTTCCTAGAAACAGAGGTGATTAATACTTGTTTAATATTTGCCTGAAGATTTTAACAAGAAGTTAAATGGAAGCTATAAGTGAAAATACTATTCTTACTCAATGTTCTCTGGGAAGAAAAAAAAATGGAAGAATCCAAACTAAAAATAAAAATGGTTAATTTCTCTGAAAATCCTACAATACTAAACAAATAAGGCTGCCTTTTAAAGAAAATACAGATTCTAAATATTGTTCTGAAGTGTCTTTAAAGTCCAGGGTATTATAAGCTCTTGCCAAGTAAGGTGGTGCTTAATAATTTTTTTTTATTTCATCAGTGTTAATTTAGAAGGAAAGCGAGCACATTATAAAGAAACACATGTACAAAGTCACATTACTGAAATGTAGTTTAAGGAAAATGGGTTGTAGCTATTGTTAACTCATGATTACCCCAGCTAGTTCTCTGTTGGCTCTAAGGATGATGTCGAAACCATTCCTAAGAAAGTTTTGCTTCTTGGCAATTCCCATTGCCACCACAGATTCACTTCTTACCTCATCCTGCCACCCACTGCTGCCCACACTTCTTCTCCAGAACTGCCCGTGTGTGTGATTAGAGACCAGGAGAGCTTGCCTTGAAGACACCTCATACCTGAAATTCTAGCCAAGCAGGAGTCAGAGGGCAGTCCCAGCTCACCCTCTCCATTCCACTGAAATGGAGGCTAGGGACACTTAGCTCCCCCAGCAACCAGCTGCCCTGATAATCAGAGAACCACAAGACTTAAGCTTCAAGAAGGAAGGAGCCCAAGGTGAACAACCAGCAAGCACAGGGCCAGCCTTCCATTCTGGTGCGTTCACCTCCCACCACGTGGGGAAGAGAGAGAGCCCTGCGAAGGGCTGTGAAGGGAACTGAGTAGGGCCAAAGAGCTGGAAAGGGAGTGTCTGTCCCCACTGAGCCACTTTTAGTCATCCATAAGGTTTAAATGACTAAAAGTCTAGGTTTTCCTGCTGCTTTGTCCCTCAACTTGCAGGCAAGGCATGTCAGGAGGAGCATGTGCTATGAAGGGCAACTGTTCCCAAAATTCCCCTCCCACCTCCACCATGCAAGGAACACAGCTACCATGCTACACATGTCTACAAGGGGCCTCCAGCCCTTCCCTGTATATACTTCTGCCTTCTGGGAGAGCAATGGGAGGGAAATTCTCTGCCATCTGTGAATCCTGTTCTTCTTTCAGGAAGGTATTTTGACTATAACTATTATTTTAGGGAGCTTTCAGACATAAGCATCTCTCTGCCTTTCACCTCAGTCAATCTAATTCCCACATCCCAGCAACCCACACACCCGACAACTACAAACTCAGGTATCCAAGCCCATAATCCTGACTTTAAAAGCTTAAAAAAAAATACGAGGGCATGGATGAACAAAATTTACTAATACGCCTGATGGGTATTTCAGAACACTAAGAGGACAATGAAAAAAGGGATTTTTACATTCAATTTTTTTAGGTTTCTTGTTACTGAAAATAAAAAAGCAAAGAAAATAAAGCCCTCTCTCTCTTCATGCACATTATACTTGGTGCCACTATACAAAGTATGCAGCCCCTGGCACTCTGGTAATAAGCTGTGAGTAAAATTCACACTCGTGTAAATCTGGAGTTATATTAAAAGGTTACTGTTTTAGTCTTATGCGAAGTTAAAGGATTGCCAAATCCCTTCATCACTCAAGCTCTTTGAAGAATAAGACACAGTCTTGTAGAAATCCTCAGACCAAAACACAAGGGTTTTGATATTTAATGTTTAAGAGGAGGAGAAAGTCTGAGAGAGGAACTAAGTGAAGGGGTAAAAAGAAAGCATTGTTGTATTTGCCGTTTTGAGGAAGAACAGGTTATTTGCTCTCCTCACCCTGCCCAGGGAAACTCACACTGGAGAGAGGCCAGGAAATATCTTCCTCAGGCAGGTGCCTATGTGAGCCAGCACCTCACTCACGTCCTCGGGCGATGCCATCTTCATGGAGATGTTGCACTTCTCAGTTTCCACAACCATCTGCAAGAACCGGGTGGGACACTTCTTAAGAATGAGTCCAGTTCCTTCCGTTTTAAATTATTTTCAGTACTGTAAACTACATAGTCACACAGATATATACTAATACAATATTAGCTGTTTTTTCTTTTAACAAGGTTCGAGGGTAGCACATCTCACATACGTGCGTGAACACCCAACCATCACGCTCATGAACTACAAAAGAATCACAGCATTAGCTTTTCAAGAAGCACTTCCTTAAAATGACACACTTAATTTAAGACTCAAAGAAGTGTTTGGGTAGCGGGTGTAGGTGTTGTCAGAAACATCTAGAAACTGAAGCAAGTGTTTCCAAGGGCCAAGCTGGCAGATTCAAATAGACTCCCATATGATAGAGACTGAATTCCCACATTCAAACATGACTCTCCTTTTACCAAGATTTTGTCCTGAGCTGCAGTATTACAAACTTTTTATATCCCTGCTATGCAGTATAAGTACGGCCATATCTTTCTGTGAGTACCCATGGGCAATCTAAAAGCTACCTTTAAAACACACATACACACACATTTTAAAAACAAGAAACCTTATAATATGCTTAAATAAAATGTTAAAACCTTTTGCTCTTGGGAGCAAAAGAGAAATGCTTTTAAAAGTTTCTATCGGCAGGGTGCGGTAGTGAGCTCACACCTATAATCCCAGCACTTTGGGAGGCCGAGGCAGGCGGATCACAAGGTCAAGAGATTGAGACCATCCTGGCCAACATGGTGAAACCCTGTCTCTACTTAAAAAAAAAAAAAAATTAGCTGGGTGTGGTGATGCGTGCCTGTAGTCCCAGCTACTCAGGAGGCTGAGGCACAAGAATCACTTGAACTCAGGAGGTGGAGGTTGCAGTGAGCCGAGACCCTGCCTTAAAAAAACAAAAACAAAAAGGTTTCGATCTTTCTAAGAAGAGGGGATACTTGGAATATTAAGGTAACATGTTAATAAAATGTTTGGTGTTAGGTTTAGTGTCAGGCTAAGACTCATTCCTATAATTAATTGCTGGAGATGTCCAAAATACATGTCAAAAAATGTTGAGACTGAGACAGCTAGTCCTCTAAATAAGTATAAATTAACTTGTGAGAAGGAGGGCAGGTCACAAAAGGGGCAAGAGGTTGAAGATGTACACATTACAAATAAGAAGAACTTCAGCCACTTAAAAAAAGATGCCATTTTATTTAACCTCAAAAACACTCATGTAAGCTGGGTGTGGTGGCGCATGCCTGTAATCCCAGAAACTCAGGGGGCTCAGGCAGGAGGATCGCTTGACCCTAGGAGTTCAAGACCAGTCCAGGCAACATAGTAAAACCCCATCTTCCCACCCCACAAAAAATTCCCATAAAATTCAATCCTCTTAGATTATCACTTATCAAAATATCCTCACACATTTACTTCCTGTTCTTACTTTATCTATACAAAAATATGATGGAAAACACTGTTTATAATGTGCAATGCAGTTTTTAGATTTTGCCTTAGATTTTCCTAAAATTAGCCCAAACTGAAAATAATAATAATGTAAGTATTTCAACATATGCATGTTAAAAGGAAAAGTAATGCAAGGTATGTCAAAATGATGAGATCAAAGGACATAAATAATGTAAATGTTTAAGATGTCACTTTTTCATAAATACCTCCAGAAGAATCTGTCAATAAGTATTCAATAAACACCACTTCTGTGCTAGTTAGTTGAACGTAAAAAAAATTAAAATTCCTATTTTTCAGTACCTTCCTCAAGAAATGAAAGGCAAAGCCTTTAAAATTCTCTAGGCAAAGGCTCCATTTGTCTTCTAAAAGCTGGTTCAAGAGATATTCCTCTTGCAAAAGGCACCAAGCATTATTGTACCTGGAGACTAAACAACCCAGTAGTCTATAAGATGTTTTAAGTAAGACTAAATCTACTTAGTGCAATTAGGCTCATAATTTTCATATGCACATTATCTGTGCATACGCATGTTTTTAAAAGCCAGACACTTCAGACACTTTTGATTTGCCATTGTGTCTATGCTCTGCACCCCACCCCCAATCTTCCCACCATGGGTAATTATATTTTTCACTACAGGGGTACTTTTACATTCTTCACATCTAGCGCATCTATTCAGTTCACAGTTTGGGTGCGAGTAATTAGTAATTAGCTTATTCTAATTCCACTTAATCTTAACACCTAATCATCTTTAATTGCACAGGCTTGAATAGAATGACAGAGAAGAAAAAAGGTGACAGGTGGAGGAAGAAATGAGGCCTTCAATTCAACCTTACAAGCAAGCACTCACAGAACCCTGTGTAAGATGTCACCACCTTTGCATAATGTAAAGACTGCAACAAAGTGATGGAGGTGAAACCAACACAATAAGTCACCTCATCAAAAAAAGAAAAAAAGAGTTTCCTATCAAATACTCTTTTCCCTCCCACTTCAGCTGGAGAGGAACAGAATGTTTGAAACACATTTTCCTTAGACACCTAGCAGAATATAACCCATGATATCTAATACACATTTAAAATAATAATCAGAGACATAAGCCATAGTAACTTATGTATGATTCAAATTTCCCACCCCACTCTACCGCCTTTTTTAAGGTCGAACAACCTGATTAAACTTTAAGGGCAGCACGTTTTACTAATCCCCAGCTAACAGACCTGTGAGTTGTTTTTCTCTCCTCTATCAGAAATACCCATGGGTGGGCCTGGCGCAGTGGCACACGCCTGTAATCCCAGCACTTTGGGAGGCTGAGGCAGGTGGATCATGAGGTCAGGAGATCGATACCATCCTAGCTAACACGGTGAAACCCCGTCCCTACCAAAAATACAAAAAATTAGCCGGGCGTGGCAGCTGGTGCCCATCGTCCCAGCTACTCGGAGGCTGAGGAGAAGAATGGGGTGAACCCAGGAGGCGGAGTTTGCAGTGAGCTGAGATCATGTCACTGCACTCCTGCCTGGGCAACAGAGCGAGACTCCGTCTAAAAAAAAAAAAAGAGAGAGAGAAAAAAAGAAAAAAGAAATACCCATGGGTGGTGGGTGGCTTATCAATATCATTCTGTGACATAGCAAACAATTAACCCTATAATTTAAAAAAAAAATCATAGCAGGTATTCAGTTGTACAAAATAAGGGTCCAAAAATTGTATAACTACAAAACTATATAACTGCTGGCCTCAACTTAAATACCATGAAGGCAACAGAACTCGAGCACCAGAAAATAATGTGGCACAGAGACTTGTAAAATAAGATAAAGGTTTCCCACATTTCTGAAGAAAGGGGAAAATACCAACAGTAAAAGTCACATTTCACTAACTCTATAGAGCAATCACTCACTCTTACACACAATGCAGTGGGTAAGTCTCAGGAATTTTATCTGAGTTGACGAACTATAATTAAATGATAATAAAAAATAGCAAGGAGAAAAAAATAAATCCCAGAGAACGTTATAAAAGAATTCCTAATCAAGGCTAGATTCTGAGTGCCACTGGTAGACACTCCCATCCTTATGATTTTATGTAAAAGAAAATTAAAACTAGAGACTTCAAGGAACCAGTGGTTACACAGGTCACTGGTTCTTAACCTTTAGAATGCAACAGAATCAAATGGTACACTTGTTCAAAAAAAAAAAAAAAAAAGTCCACTGCAGACGTATGTTATCGTTACCTGTCCTATGTATATGCTGTGTGTGTATGAGGAGGATGAGGAAGTGTGATGTGACAGAGAGGAGGGTACTGCTGAAAGTATATTTTTAAAAATAATCTCAGGCAATTCCAAAACACAGCACATTTTGAATACCATTAGGTTACTGGTATTGCCAGTCTCTGAACTGCTAGGCCATTTACAGAAGCAGTGCCAATGTCCACTATAATTTCATCTCAAAGGTCCATAGTGTGGGACAAAGTTAAATTGAAGCACTGTTGTAAATCTGTTCTTTTGGTATTGATACTGACGGGGCTGAGACAGACGGCTTTATACACAGTTCCTCGGAGTGGTAGGCATATTGAAAGGGGCAAGACTACAAGTGTGGTAAGACCAATTTTCGCAGCCACATGGGAAAATTAGTCTTGCTGCATCAACACCCTTTCTCATAATTAAATAGCACAGTGAAATCATATTTTGAACATAACCTTGGCATTAACATTTCGCTAATGCCCTTCTGCTCCCATCCCAGCTCTCAAATCATAAACATAAACATTCCTGAATTAAGACTAGCAAGAAGACCCTGGTTATGTCATTATGTCATCATTCACGAGTGATCATTCACTCCTGCATATGGTTTGACCATTTGGGCAAACATATGTTGCTGTGATTTTTCTTTCAAACTCCAGTTTCTGGAAAATGATAAACACGTAAGATAAAACGTTGCTTTAAGATGAACTGTGGAAAAGTCCCAAGAGTTTGTATGAAATCTCAAAAAACACAGTGACGATTTTGACAATTTTAAAGAACATTACCAACAAACTCCACACACACATATATACACACACACACACACACACATTGTAGTTTTAAAAGCTAAAACAAACAGTAGAAGGAAAGAATAAAGATCAGAGCAAAAGTCAATGAAATAGGAAATAAAAAATCAATGAAATCAATAAAGAAAACCAATGGAACCAAAAAGAAAGTTGTTTGAAAAGATCAAAAAAATTGGTAGACCTCTAACCTGACTGAAATGCAAAGAGATAGAGGTAACCAAATTACCAGTATTGGGAATGATATTCCCAATACTGTTCCCAATACTGTTATACTTGTTATACAGGTATTAGAAGTATAACAAGTGGGTATTGTTAACAACTTTATTTCAATAAATTCAACAACTTACATAAAATAAATTTCTTAAAAGACACAAACTACCAAAGCTCATTCAACAAGAGAAATACAAATGGATCTATATCATTAAGGAATATTAATAGAATTTGCAGTTTAAAACCTTCCCTGGTCAGACACAGCGGCTCATGCCTGTAATCCCAGTACTCTGGGAGGCTAAGGGGGGTTGATCGCTTGAGCTCGGAAGTTTGAGTCGAGCCTGGGCAATGCAGAGAAACCCTGTCTCTAGAAAAAAATACACAAATGAGTCGGGCATGGTGGTGCACGCCTGTAGTCCCTAATTGGGAGGACGAGGTGGGAAGATGGCTTGGACACAAGAAGCCAAGGTTGCCATGAGCCGAGATTGCACCCCTGCGGCTCCTGCCTGAGCAACAGAGTGAGACCCTGTCTCACAAAAAAAAAAAAAAAAAAAAAAACCTTCTCAAAGAGAAAACTCAAGGCCCAAATAACTTCACCAGTAAATTCAACCAAACATTTAAGACAAAAATTAATACCACCTACCACCTCAACAGAAAAAATTTAAGAGGAGGAACTACTTCCTCCTCTATAGAGAAGAAATATGTAGAACCATTCTATAAATCCATGATTCTCTAATAGAGAAGCCAGCCAAAAATGTTACAAAAAAAAAAAAAAAAATGACAAACCAATCACTCCCACAAACATCGATGCAAAACACTATTCACAAAATTTTAACACTTGGAATTCAACAATATATAAAAGGAATAATATATCGTGACTCACGCCTGTAATCCCAGCACTTTGGGAGGCCGAGGCAGGCGAATCACAAGGTCAGGAGATTGAGACCATCCTGGCCAACGTGGTGAAACCCTGTATCTACTAAAAATACAAAAATCAGCTGGGCTTGGTGACGCGCACCTGCAGTCCCAGCTACTCAGGAGGCTGAGGCAGGAGAATCATTTGAACCCAGGAGGCAGAGGTTGCAGTGAACCAAGCTTGGGCCACTGTACTCCAGCCTGGTGACAGAGCGAGACTCCATCTCAAAAATATATATATAATAATAATAATATATCATGGCCAAATGAGACTTACCCCAGGAATAAAATATTTGATATTAAAAAAATTATCAATATAATTCACCATTTTAAGAAGCTTAAAAAAAGAAAGAAAACCACACAATAATCTCAACAGACAAAGAAAAAACATTTGCCAAAATCCAACACTAATTCCTGATTAAAACTCTCAGCAAACTAAAAACAGAAAGAAACTTCTTAAAACAGATAAAGGGCATCTATTTTAAAAACCTACAACTAATATCACACTTAATGGTGAAAGAATAAATACTTTCCCTCAAAGACGAGGAAAAAGGCCAAGAAGGTCTGATCTTGCCACTTCCATTCAGCACTGTCTTGTAGGTACCAGAACAATTGTCAAGGTCTGAGATTTTACCCTACTTGTAAGCCAGTAAGTTAGCCTATTACTGTTTCATTGATGCTGCTGAAGACAGGAGACACCTGGGTCAGAGACATAGGATTTTATGATTAATGGCACAACAAAAGGCATGTGCATCACATTTGGATAGATTCCCCTGCCCTCAAAGTCCCACATGGTGACATGAAGGGATTCAGATGGATGCCTGCACACACAGTAGGCTGCTTACAAGAAAGGAACCCTTGGACATTGGAAATCTACTGTTTTCATAGTAAGAAGTAAGCAAGCCTGTTCTTTGTTCAACAGGGAACTATTCCACCATCCCACAAGGATGCTCACTGCAATCAACCCTGAGAAACAGCCTGGGCAAAGAGTAGTCATGGCACTAAATTCCTGGCATACTCAGCAAAATATGTACGAGTATGACACCAATAGAGGAATATCTCCCAATAGCAGTAAGACTAGACGAAGAAATAAAAGACACCCATGTTAAAAATAAAAGGTACCCATCCATATTCACAAATGACATTTTTGTAAATACTGATGAAATCTATTTTTAAAAGCTACTAGAACTAATACATGAGTAAAGCAAGATAGCAGGATATAAGGTCAACATGCAAAAATCAACTATATTTCTAATACCAGCAAGAGACAACTGAAATTTTAAAAATAACACAATTTATAGCAGCATCAAAAAATATTAAACACTTAGGAATGAATTTAGAGATGTGTAAGACCTGTACACTGAAAGCTACAACAAAATACACTCAGGAAAAACTGAAAAAGACCTAAACAAATGGAGAAATATATAGTTTTCTTAGGTCAGAAGACTGTACATTACATCAGTTCTTCCCCCAAAGTGATTTAAAAATTCATTGTAACATCAGCCAAAATTCCAGCCAGCTTTTTATAGAAACTGAGATGTTTCTAAAATTCACATGGAATTGCAAAGGACCTAGAATCACTGAAACAATTTTGAAAAAGAAGAAAAACGTTGGAGGAATAACACTCTCTGATTTCAAACTTTGTTGTAAACAAGCCACAATAATAGAGTACAAGAGTGGCATGAAGATAGTAGCAAGGAGACGGGATTCAAAGAGTGCAGAAACAGATTCACACTTAAACGGACTACAGAATTTCAACAAAGGTGAAAACAAGCTCAGTGAGGAAACAATAGTCTTTCAAACAAATGTTACTGGAACAAGTGAATATAATATAAATACGAGAAAAAAAAGACAAACTAAAAAAAATTTTGATCTATACATAGCTTTATATTCAAAAATTACTTCAAAAGGGATCATAGGCCTACATGTGTAACCTAAAGCTGTAAAACTTCTGGAAGATATAGAACATGCTGTGACCCTGAGTTAAGAAAAGATTTATTCAATATGATACTAAAAGCACAATCCGTAAGAGAAAATATTGATAAATTGAACTTCATCAACATTTGAATCTTCTATTCTTTGGCCAGGCGTAGTGGCTCACGCCTGTAATCCCAGCACTTTGGGAGGCCGAGACGGGTGGATCACGAGGTCAGGAGATCGAGACCATCCTGGCTAACACAGTGAAACCCCGTCTGTACTAAAAATACAAAAAATTAGCCGGGCATGTTGCGGGCGCCTGTAGTCCAGCTATTCAGGAGGCTGAGGCAGGAGAATGGCGTGAACCCGGGAGGCGGAGCTTGCCCTGAGCTGAGATCCCGCCACTGCACCACTGCACTCCAGCCTGGGCGACAGAACAAGTGACTCCATCTCAAAAAAAAAAAACAAAAAAAATTATCCTCTTTGAAAGACACTGTTAAGGGAATGAAAAGACAAGCCACAGACTGAGAGAAGATATCTGATAAAGGCTTTGTATCCAGAATGTGTTTTTTTTAAAACTCTCAAAACTCAATAAGAAAACAAACAGCCCAATTTTTGTAATGGCAGAAGGAAATACATGATGGCAATTAAACAGATAAAAAGATACTCAACATGTTCTGTCACTAGGGAAATGCAAATTAAAACCACAATGAAAAAGCACTACATACCTGTTGAATGGTTAACACTAAAAAGACTGACTATACCAGTGTTGGGGAGGATGTGGAGGAACTAGAACTCTCATATGCTGTTGGTGACAATGTAAAATGGTACAACCACTGTGGAAAAGTGTGACAGTTTCTTAAAAGGTTAAACATATAGCTATCATATGATTCAGCCATTCTACCCCTAGGTAATTACACGTGGGAAATGAAAGTAGATGTCCAATCAAAAACTTGTACTTAAATATTCATAGCAGCTTTATTCAACATAGCCAAAATGGGAAACAATCCAAATGTCCCTCTCATCGGGTGAATGGATAAACGAACCGTAATACAGCCACACAATTAAACACTACTCAGCAACAACAAGAATAAACTATTGAGACATGTGACAAAATAAATCAATCTCAAAATAATTAAACTGAGGTTGGGGGAGGGAGAATATTAGGAAAGATAGCTAATGCGTGCTGGGCTTAATACTTAGGTGATGGGTGGATAGGTGCAGCAAACCTTGGCACACATTTACCTGTGTAACAAACTGGCATACCCTGCACATGTACCCCAGAACTAAAAATAAAATAAAAAATTAAAATAATAATAATTAAACTGACTGAAAGAAGGTAGACAGGAAGGAGTATACATTGTATGACATCATTCATATAAAATTTTTAAAATGCAAACTACTCTACAGGAATCAAAAGTAGATACCTGCAGATTGACTGCAGATGGGGAAGAGGGCCGAGAGAGTCATACATATGTCAACACTTATCAAATTGTACACTTTAGTTTACTGCAGTTAGTTATAGCCCAATAAAGCTATTTTTTAAAATCTGCATTTTATTAACTCCAAAAAATTATCACTATATTCTCACTAAAACCTTATATAGTACTATGTAATTGCTATGAAATTTTAGTGTCAAAGCATGTTGTACAAACTCTATAAGGAACAGTACTCTCACGTTTACATTGCCAGTTATAAGAGCTAATTAGTTCTTCACAAACTGAGTTATGGAGAATGTGTTTCCCTTATCAGAATGAATTTCCAACTCCTGTCCACACAGCCAGTGTTGAGTCTCTCATTTTGAAAATTTAATCTTCCCTAACCTTGTTTATCCACATTGTCTCAAGGAACATTTTAGGGTTTCAGGAATTCAAGAAAGATGACCTTGCAGTGATCTGTTTTTCACACTCACCTGAGCTGACTTGCTGCAGATGACGCCATGAATCTCCAAGTAGCTGAAGGTTAACTCAAGCTGCAATTGAGGGGAAAGGAGGAAAGAAAAGACCTGTAATGAGGGTTTTAAAACATAAAATTCAAGGTAAAAAACAAATCCTACAACTAGAAACAGTCCAAGAGCAAATAAGACATCGGGCATCTTCTGAAGGCGGGCTGGTTTAATATCTCCATTCATTCAACAAGACAGAAACATGATTTATCAAATTTCATAAAAAGTATTACTTACTTTACTAAAAAAGAAAAGAAAGGAAGCTGCATGCCCAACTTTTAAAACTTTATCCAGAGACAAACACAATAGTAGAAGTTGGTGTAAAAGCAATCACAGTTTTTGCCATTAAAAGTAATAGCAAAAAACGCAATTACTTCTGCACAAACCTAATAAGTTTTTGCACTTATACGCTATTTATTCATTGAAAAATGAATGTGTGGAAGGATACATCTAAACACTTTTTTCCCTTTTTCACTTCAAAATTTTGCTTCAGAAAGTCCTATCAGGATAAAGTCAATGTTGGTTTTCCCTTCTTTCTAAACCTTTAGCTATTTGTTACACTCTGACCACTTATCAGAGTCAGCCATCCTTCTACTGTCTTCCATTAAAATTCACAGTTTGAATGGATTTAGAGAAATAAATCTATGTTTACCCAAATTAAATCCATATTTACACAAATACAATATTTAGGAATTTTAAGTTGTGCTTAAATGAAATGTACAGAGTTAAACAAAAGTCCTCTCTCTCTGCATGTAAACAAATGATTATTTGTTTCCTTTCTATTTTAACAAGTGCCCCTCTCTTCTCCTGTAATCAGCAGCATTTTTTTTTCTTTAAAATATCCCCAGTCTTTCACTCTTTACCTGTTTTTCCTGATAAAGAGCCACTAATCTTTCTTGCCAGTTTTTCCCATTTCAGCTAATAATCACAGAGCATGGAGCTAGAGACAGCAGGGGACCAAGTTGAATCAATTTATTTTACCCTCCCACATTAAACCTAAAAATATAATGATAAAAGAACACATCCAGAACCAAACCCACAAGGGATTTAGTTCTGCTCCCTGGTGCTATGTTGTACCATGATACATTGGTAGAATAAATTTTAGAGCAGAAAAACCCTGAATCTCCAGTTAAACATCTCAAAGTATACTGATGAAGTTATTATTAATAGTGGGGAGGGAAGTAAATACTGGCCAGAAAACCCCTGAATCTCCAGTTAAACATCACGAAGTATACTGATGAGCTCTGGAAGTAGAAAGAGAACTCGCTCATTCATTATTCACTTCGTCAACTGACAAACACTTAGGAAAAGCCTACTGTCTGCCAGTATTGGAAATACAGAGAGGATTGAGACATTTGTTTTGTCCTCCAAGAGTTAAATGCAGCATTTAAGGCACACATTTAAAAGCATTAAATTAGAGTAGAAGTTTTCTTACCTATGATTATCAAGATTTATACATAATTTGGTTTTGAAGTCATTTAAAGCAGGGAATTATTTTCTAAAAAGTATACATACCTTCCCTATTTTAATTTAAAGTTTATGAATAAATATTCATTCACTATCCTTTAATATTGCGCCAAAGTTTTTCTTTGAGTTAAGCCCACTGGCTGGCCCTCCAGTGGCCTTTCTGCATAAGCCATACTCATAAACATGGCTTCCAGCTTCCAATGTAAGTCTCTTTAAAAATGCAGAACTGCAAAATACTTGCAAAGCAGTATGACGGCAGACATTTTCTCGATTATTATGCTCCTCACCACCCCTCCCCCAACTATAAAGTTGTCTAGTCTTTAAAACAGCAATTTAAGTAATTCATTTTTATCAATATTCAATGTCATAGATATTCTTCTTTTGCACTCATATTTCATTGCTACATAAAATATCTTTCACTAAAATGTTTCACTAAAAACATTTGCTATTATAACTGCTTTAGGAATAAACCCATGACCCTTAATGAGCATCTCGTTCAGTGGAAGGGAGCAGGTGTGAATAGGTGTGAGCACGTACCCTCTCTTACATGCTAACAGCTATGAAAATGCAGCCAGCATCAGTCAGCATCATCAGGGATAGGAATGGCCACCTTTGGTCAATTTGGCTCAGCAAGATTAGTTGGAGGTCAACTAAGATGCTTCTACTGTACCTGAGTGCTTTCCCTGGAGTAGAATAACAAAGTGCTGGGGAGGCAGGAAAGAGTGGTGACATTTCATCTAAGCCCTGAAGAATGACTTCAAGTTTCTCAAGCAAACATGGAGTGCAGAGGGAAATTCAGGCAGAGGAAAACGAATTTGCAAAGGCATTGAGGTGTTAAAAGAACTAGGACAAGGAAGAAACTAAAAGGAGCAGATCCTGCAGTATTAGTAATCAATAAGGATGACTGGCTGAGTCTGTGATTAGTCGAAGTCCCGGGTTATTATTAATAATGGGGAGGGAAGTCTCTAAAACATACTGAAAGACGTCACGGAAAGGTTCAAATCATTCTCTTATCTCACCTATGGCTATTTTTATTAGGCCTTTGCTCCTAGTCCCCACAACCCATCATCCACTCCACTTCAACCCACCCAAAGACAATTTAAACAATGTCACTGGATTAGATTTATGGGCAGGAAGAAGCAGGAAGTCTAGTTAAGAAGAAGTTGAGGCAGACGTAGGCTGCATGAAGAAGACTTGAGGACATTTTTCAGTTAGAAATTATACTCATTAAATATCACCAGAGAAATTAATGAATTATTAGATAAGAGGAAAAACTTAACCCAGATTGTCAATAGCCTTTCCACCAATCTCTTGCTCACCCCACACCCACACCCTGGCAAGACAGTGCCCATCCCACAAGCAACAGAGCAGATCTAAATATGATAAAGAGGCTGTCTTCAGTAACTCCCGCTCTTCCCCAGGCAGCAGTCCACGCTTCAGCCCCTCAGCCAGGCCTCAACCCTGACTGCCTTGCTGAGCTGTTTCCCTCCCACCACTGCCTCCTCCACAACCCTCAGCCCGCACTCCAACTCCCCAAATGCACTGTGGTCTTCCAAACTGCTAAGCCTTTTGATCAGTATAAAACCCCTTATTTGCCTGGCTGATGGGTGATTTTTCAACCCGCCCTCTCTGCAAACCCTTCTTTGATCTCATAATTACCCACCCCATGAAAGAAAAGTTAGGGCCTTCTGGGATGACAGGACAGTTCTATTTCCTTATCTGGGTGTGACTGCAGAAGTATTTGCTTTGTAGTTAATTACTGAGATGTACATCTCTGTTTTGTGCGTTTGACTATACATGGTGTATATTTCACAATAAAATGACAAGAGAAAGCATGTTTAATTAATCAGCTCCCAAAGAGAAGACATCTATGTCATAGTCAATGCTTTACACTAATGTTCTAAATATAATTATTTCTCCAGAAAATTATTATTGTTGACATTGGTTTTACTTCTCAGTCAAGACGTAAGGTGGCACGTTAAAACCAGCCTTCTCTAAGGGGGAAAGCTGCAAAGCTGCAGGCAGATCACTTTGGAAGAAAATCTGCCTTTCTTTATTTGTGATGTTAACAACATCAGAAATCAGAACCAATGTTCAAACTACCCTGGCCAGGGGCTGGCTCTGAAACATTATATATATCACAGGACGGAGCCAAGCCTTTCCTCAGGGGCAGAGCAAGGAGGCAGCAGAATAAAGTCATCCAGCAGAAGGCAGGCAGGTGACTTCACAAGAGGTAACACACTTCCACTGTGTCACAGCGTGTTAGGGTATGCATATTATTTAGGGGTCTTCTATTCAATAGGGTGCTTGAATATTTTTCTAAGCCCATAAAATTTCCTTCTGTAATTAATTTCTTACCAGTGGGATAATGTCTAATTAAAGTCCTCATATCATGCATTCAGGTATTTTAATGTATAGTTTAGTCTAACTTCATCGACATAATAATTTATTTAAAAAACATAATAAACATATAGGCTCACTTTATATTATCTAAAGGGGCTTGAGCCAAAAGCCTCATTTCTTGGAGAAACTTTATAAAAGTTAACATTTGTATGATCAGAAAAAAAGAAAAAAAAAGGCCACAGATATCCTAAGCCTATAACTACCAAACACTACATTGGCATCTTCCCAAAAGTCTGTGCAAATCATGCAAATCGTAAGACTGCAAGTCCTAAAAGATCCATTTCATTTGTACCAATAACATTATAGCGCCCTAACTTGGCACCTAAGTCAGAATTTACAAAACAGTGGCTAAACGTTAAATTTCAAGAAACAAGAAAAGCCTAATGAGCAAATAACACTGCGGCCCAAACATCATAGCAGGATAAGGCTGAAAGCATCTACCAGACCTTACCCATGTTCCTGGGATATGCCGGCAGGGGAAGCAGTTCAGCTCAGTAAAAAGTTGAAATAAGTAGGACATGGTAAGTCTAATTTCTCTTTCTCCCATTCATTACTTGTGAATCTTTAGACTGGCCAACTTTGCATCTTTTAGCTATTTTCTAATCACTCACCTACAAGGTTACTGTGAGAATTAAATGAGACTGTATACTTACATACTTACTAAATAACTTATTAGATTCTAGCAATAACAGAAGCAGAGGCTTTGCAGCCAGCCTCCCTTGATTAGAATCACTCATGTGCCACGTATTAGTGGAAGTTTAACCTTGGTCAAGTTACTGAACCTCCTTGGGCCTCAGTTCTCTCATCAATAAAAGGGATAATAATAAGACTTACGGCTCTCATGAGATTCTGTTAAGGATCAAGTTATTTACTAAAACAACACTCCAGTAAATGTTATCACCTTTTTAGGAAAAAAATCCCAATTTCCTATGACCATTCAGTCCACATCCTATAAAAATGATAAACTCCTTTTAGTTAACACAAACAAAGTAAGTCATTATTATGATTAATTCACAAACTATCAGTTCGAATTCCGCACCAAGTAATGAAGGACATCTCATGAAAAATGTTATGTATCTCTTTTAAAGAACAGAGTGGCGCCTTGTTATTTCTTATAGGCAACATCAGAGTAGATGGAGAACAGCTGAGATGGTTGCATTTCTGGTAATGTACTCTTTGGAGTTATGAAGGTTATTTCCCACATGTCTATAGTCTTAGAAAAACCTGCCAGTACTGATCCAAAGGAAATAAGAAGTAGACTTGAATAAAGTGGAAATCAAGCCCCAGTTGAGAGAGGAAAATAACTGGGACATGGAGCCTTAGGGACATACAGCACAAAATCCTTCACTGATTTTCTTGGGATGCCTTTACACAAAGAGAGGGAACAAAGGAGTAAAAAAGATGTTTGTCATTACAGCCTTTAGGTGCTTCTGGGAAGAAGGAAGGAAAATTAGAATATGCTAAGAGAAATCTGAACACAGCTTAAATCAAAAGTCTATGTAAGTGAGGCGTGTGTGTGTTGTGTTGCAGTATGTGAATGTGTATGTGTGCACACATGTTTAAGAATGCATGAGTGACTATGCATGAGTGTGCATGTGTGAGTCTGCACTGAGTGAGTGTTGAGTGTTGAAGGAAGGACTTCATGAACACCTACCTTGGTGGGGATTCGCGCTGTTACAAGGAAGGCTCGGCATGATGTAAGCACCTGTAAGACAGAAGCAGCAGCATCAGTATGTGCCAAAAAGTGGGCCCAGTGGGCTTTGGTGTTTCCACGGGACTTTAATGATACTGAAGCCTCAGAAGGCCACGTGGCTTGGCTCTTGTCATGTAAGAAGAATTAAGACCTGGGACAGCTTCTTGGTCTCATAGAATTAGTTTTAACTTAAAGAGTTCCTGTATCAAAGTTCTTTTAGAACAAATCACAGGTGAAATCTCAAGATGAGAAGCCTGTCAGCAGCCCAAAAACCCAACAGATTATTCAGATTAGGTAAAACAGGTCTCTGTGATACTAAAATGCAGATATATAGTCACAAGTCTCACTATATCAACAGTAAACTTAATGGAAAAAAAAACAACAACTAAGTACTCATTTGCACTTCTCAAATTACAACCACCACCCACATTTGCCCTCTTGCTTTCCATTCTTTGTACTCCAGCTAACAGAGCAAAATCAGGCTTTTATATATATATATTATATAATATACATATTATATAATGCACAGAGCGAAATCAGGCTAAGCTTCCAAAAAATCATCCCTAACTTTGCTTCTCAGCTGTGTCTCTCTCAGTCTTAGAACATTTATGGAAGTTTCCTTTTTGATGCTCAGCTAAGAACATACATACAGCCTGTGGGGTCCCATATGCCTATAGGTTCCTTTACTTAGCAGAGGCCCTCATGAATACAAAGGGGCTGAGCTAGGAGTTCAGATTTTGAGCCAGGATCCCACATCCATGAAGCTTACTGCAAAACTTTCCATTCTGCAACTTTGAGATTTGGGCAGGCCTCATGAGTCTTTTCAATAAAGAAAGAAAACTCCAAGGCTTCTCAAGTCCTGATGGAAGAATTGCCCTTTTTTCATTTTCCAAATAACTTCCTTGTCACTAAGCCTGTACTTAGCAAGTGGTGCTTATTTAGCAAGTTATGCTGATGTGCTACTTTAAGAATGCTAGATTAGAACAAAACTGTAGAAAGTCAAGAACACTGGGACCTCAGATTGTTAAAGGACTTATCCAAAGTCAAACAGCTTTACCCAGACACAACCCCGGGCTTGAACGGCTAAGCTGAGCACAGAAAATGAATCAAGGCTGTGCCCCTGTGGCATGCTTTATGCCTTTCCCTAGTCTCCCAACTCTGAATAGAAACAGTGCATTTTCTATAAAATCTTTCTTTGAATAATCGTATGTCATCACGGTAGGGGATAATTCAAGTCAGAACCATTTACGAGACAGATGAGAAGTAATCTGACACTGGCTGGGAGAATGTGGTAAGAGCAGGTGGGGAAGGTTGAGGGAAAAGACAGAGCCCATTTCAAGACCTTTCACCCAAATGCCACCATCACAGTCATTCACAGGATCAATTTTTACCTGGTATCATTTTTGCAGCTTGATTTTAGAGTTGGCATGCCCTAGGAAGCCATTTTATAAATGACTTCTAAAAGTGCAGGCAACAAGTGCCTTCTCAATGCTACAGGCAGTGTGTCAGTCTCATAAAAGTGTGGGTAACAGATGATGTCTATCTTTGAATATTCCATATGCTGTGAGCCAAATCACAGCTTTTCCCTGAGGAAGTTATCCTTTTTTTTTTTTTAATACCCTCCTAAGGCCCTGGGGGCAAGGAAACGGGACAAAGCACCAGGCAGTAGAAAGGAGAGGGACAGGGACGAAGTATGGCCAGGATGAGTGCGTGGAGGTCAAGTGTAGCCCGGTAGTAGCAAGACTGGCTACATCATCTGTAGGGACATTGTTCAAATATGATTAAGAATTTCAAAACGATAACAATAAGGCATTAACCCAATGCAGGGAAATGATGAACTCACTTCAAGATCATATAATTGGGGAGAAATGGAATTTACATGCTTGGGATGGAAAGCATCCTGTTTGTAGGGTGTCCAGCTCTTTCTGTTTGCACAAGATGTTTCCAGTTTCAGGGCTGAGAATCTTGCATCCCGGGAAACTGGGACTGTTGGTCAAGCTACTAGCTTGAATTTTGGAATCAGAAAGACTTACATTCAGATTCTGGCTCTGCCACTTTCTGGCTGCATTTACCTGTTAACACCAAAGCCTGTGTCCTTAACCACCACACTATATCTATATGTTACTACTCAATGGTGCCTCCTTGTGCTCCAGATGCTGGCAGACGTGTCCTGTGCAACTGCACAGATTGCAGGCCATAAAGCTGTCCCTGAGTCGTTGCTACTCTTTATCAAGCATTTCCTATGTGCCATGAATAGGTGAATATCATTGAGGAGAGTGGCACACTTTAATCCTCACAACAAATATATTTGATGTCATTATTTCCATTTTACAAATGAGTAAACTGAGACTCAGTGATGAACTCACTTCAAGGTCATTCAATTAGAGCAGAAACCGTTTATAAAAGCATCAGAGTTCAAAAGGTTCTTAAGAAGAGTATAATTTCAATCTTACAGCTTTGTTAACACCAGAACCAATGTTCTTAACCACCAGGCTATATTTACATGTTACTACTCAATCCTGCTTCCTCATGCTCTAGCCCCTGGAAGATCAGTTACAGTGAAGGCAGGAAGGGATAGCCCGGGGCAGCCATGACTGGGAGAGATCCACAAAGCTCTCAGGAGTACCTTTTTCAACATTCCAACAGTTTTTAAAATGCTCTTTTTAAATCCAAGTATGCCCTGGAGAACTGAACTCTTCTGTCACCAGCACTAGTTAATCTTTGGCTAATACAGCAGTACTCAGGGAATTAAGAGTTTGCAGGCCTTTTGCAAAAGGGCAAAAGAGCATTTTGTTGCATGAGACACACAAGGTTGGATAACAGGCATCAGATAATCAAAAGAAGCATGGCAGTGATAAAGAGGAATTTGGAAAGGGAGATAAAAGGCACCAGAGTGAGGCTTAGCTTGCACTGCCATTTGCCTAGGTCTAGGGAGCGGAATACGAGATTAGAACTCATCTCAAAGGATGAAATCTTCACCTTCCCTGAACTAAGCTCCACAGTGCATCTAGCACCTTCTACTCCACTTTAGTACCAGGATATGACCCCTCTTTCAAATACTGCTCCTCCCCCATAGTGGAAAAGAAAAGAAATAAGATAATAATGCTGACAGCCACGATCATAAGCATGGCTATAGGAAGCCAGTCCCCTATTCTCACCATTTCTCCCCTTTTATTATTTACAAAGCAGCACACACATTTCTCTCTCCCAGGAGTACTGGTATGATCAATCCCCAATCTTTCCAAAAAGCTTACGTCCACAAAACCTCTGCTTAGAGGTGAAGTAACAGACAAATCCTAAAACTCGCATGCCAGAAAGGTCCCAATATCACGTGGTTAAAGACCTAAAATTCCCTGAGTTTGTGTATAATCTGACAGCAGGTCCAGAGAAACTCATCATCTCACAGCTAGTCAGTGGCAGAGCTGGAACTAGAAGCTGCAACTCCTCACTCTCAGTCTATTAACTCTCCACTCTCACCTAACATGAGCAATAAGGTTCAAGGCCAAAAGCCACAGATAGGAACTTGTAGCCTCTTCAGTATTCATAAAAATATATTTAACTCTGTGAACTTTCCTTCAAAGGAATCCAGGATCCTTTCACAAACATAGGAATAATTGCCAGTACCTGTTGAGTACACTGTTCTAATAGGTTTGCATATGTTACCACATTTAATCCTCACAGCACCCTATAAGGAAAACACTATTATAATCCCTACTGAAGAAACAGAGGCACATAGGGATTATGTAATTTGTGCAGGTCACCCAGCAAGTAGGTGGCAATTGGGATTCGAGTCTGGATGGTCTGGCTCCAGAGACGGTGTTCTTTTTTTTTTTTTGAGACGGAGTCTCGGTCTGTCGCCCAGGCTGGAGTGCAGTGGCCGGATCTCAGCTCACTGCAAGCTCCGCCTCCCGGCCTGCCTCAGCCTCCCGAGTAGCTAGGACTACAGGCGCCCGCCACCTCGCCCGGCTAGTTTTTTGTATTTTTTTTTAGTAGAGACGGGGTTTCACTGTGCTAGCCAGGATGGTCTCGATCTCCTGACCTCGTGATCCGCCCGTCTCGGCCTCCCAAAGTGCTGGGATTACAGGCTTGAGCCACCGCGCCCGGCCAGAGACGGTGTTCTTAATGACTTATACTGGCTGTCAAATCTCACCTTTCCAAAAAACAGATTCTTCAATAGTCCACACACATGGAAACACAGATGAGTCATGCAGCTTTAAAGCCAGAAAGAAGCAAACATGTAAAATGACTAGCAGTACAATGAGAGATGTTTGGATATCATAAGGAAAAGGATCAATCCCTACTGGTCTCGTGTCTCCTTCTGTCTCTTTCTATGCACTCCTATCAACTGTTAGTGTCTATCTCTCTGAATTTCTCTCTAATCTCTGTTCTGTATCTGTCTATATGATTCTACATATGTATCTCTCAGTCTATCTGTGCCTCTCCTCACTGGCTCCCCACTCCTCCTTTGACCCCTCTCTTTGCTACTGCTGCCAGTGTCCCCCACACCCCACCCTACCTTGCTCCATCTCCTTTCTCTCTTCCAGAGCCCTCCTCCCCTGCCTTCATTCTGTCCTCCATTCCCCAGCCCTTTCTCCATGAGAATCACTTGAGAACTTGCTATTTTATTTATGCCTTTTGCAAGACAATAGACACCAATCACAGAAGAAAGGTCGCATTCTGGACAAGTATTTCATTTGTAACACAGTTACAGAAAAATGTGAACAAAGTATGAACCAAAAACAGATACCTTTTGACATCATTACACAATAAGCACATTGGTAATTAAGTGATTACAACGTCCCCTGTGTGAATCTAATTAATAAGTCTTAAAAACTAATCTCAAACATGCACCCAAACAACTGAAATACAACAGCAATCACTAGCACAAGGAACCAGCCGGCCATTCCACTCTTTGACAATTGTTGTACTTTAGGAAATAACTCTCCCACCACCAGTGGGGCAGTGGGGATGGGGGATGGGGAGTGGGGAAGGGATGGAGTCAGGTGACCTGC